TCTCCTTGCTACTGCTGTCACTGACCCTTCCTTCGAGTCGTCTGCTACGTCTGCCCTTGTCACTGAGCTGGTCGACTTTGCTGCGCGCTGTCGTCTAGACTACGCTGCCAGTCTTGTTGCTGAGTTTGAGTCTGCCTGTCCTCCGTCCGTCGGGGGTGAGTGTGCCCTCGGCACGGACGTCCTTGAGGACAGGCAGGAGGAGTTCCAGTGTCTGGCCGCCGCTTCACCCCATCTTGCGTCTGTACTGCTAGCCCGTGAGGGAGACCCGGATGCACCAGACATCCCGACTCCGCGCTCTTACGCGGAGGCGATAGAGGGTCCCTACTCCTCTCAGTGGCAGGCAGCTATGGATGCAAAGATGGCTTCCTGGAAGTCCACAGGCACCTACGTCGACGCTGTTCCCCCTCCTGGGGCGAACATCGTCAGTTGCATGTGGATTTTCAGGGTGAAGCGGCCGCCGGGTTCTCCGCCTGTCTTCAAGGCGCGTTACGTGGCTCGTGGCTTCAGTCAGCGGCAGGGGGTTGACTACTTTCAGACCTTCTCCCCCACCCCGAAGATGACCACTCTTCGGGTTCTGCTGCACGTTGCTGCTCACCGTGACTACGAGCTGCACTCTCTCGACTTCAGCACAGCTTTCTTGCAGGGCAGCCTGCACGAGGAGATCTGGCTGCGTCGCCCACCTGGCTTCACTGGGTCTTTCCCTCCTGGTACCCAGTGGAGTCTCCGGCGTCCAGTCTACGGTCTCCGCCAGGCGCCACGTGAGTGGCACGACACACTGAGGACTACGCTCGCGGCACTTGGGTTTGCTCCTTCTACTGCCGACCCGTCGCTGTTTCTGCGCACCGACACCTCTCTGCCGCCGTTCTACATCCTCGTGTACGTCGACGACTTGGTCTTTGCCACAGCTGACACTGCTGGACTCGCCTACGTGAAGTCCGAGCTGCAGAAGAGACACACGTGCACTGACCTGGGTGAACTGCGTAGCTACCTTGGCTTGCAGATCACCCGGGACAGAGCACGCCGCACCATTACCCTGACTCAGTCACACATGGTGCAGCAGGTCCTTCAGCGCTTCGGCTTCACGTACTCCTCGCCTCAGGCCACTCCTCTGCCTACTCGCCACTCGCTCTCAGCTCTGCCTTCGGATGAGTCCGTAGAGTCGAGTGGCCCGTTTGCAGAGCTTGTTGGCTGCCTCATGTACCTGATGACCTGCACACGTCCTGACCTTGCATACCCTCTTAGCATTCTCGCACGCTATGTTGCTCCTGGGAGACACCGACCAGAGCACATGGCTGCAGCGAAGAGGGTGTTGCGCTACTTGTGCAGTACGTCGGGCATGGGGCTAGTGCTTGGAGGGCGCAGTCCAGTGGTCCTCACTGGGCACGCAGACGCTTCTTGGGCTGACGACCAGGCTACGCAGCGGTCGTCACAGGGTTACACCTTCAGCCTTGGTTCTGGCTCTGTTTCGTGGCGGGCTACCCGCTCGTCTTCTGTTCTCGGCTCCAGTTGTGAGGCTGAGATCTACGCTGGGGCTATGGCTGCACAGGAGTTACGCTGGCTCACCTACCTGCTGACCGACCTTGGAGAGCAGCCTCGTTCTCCTCCAGTCCTGTACGTAGACAACAAGGCCATGTTGGCCTTGTGTCGAGAGCAGCGACTGGAGCACAGAACGAAGCACATTGCCCTCCGCTACTTTCTTGCTCGTGAGCTGCAGCAGCGTGGACAGTTGCGACTTGCGTACGTGGCCTCTGAGGCCAACACTGCTAATGTCTTCACTAAGGCACTTGCGCCTTGTGATCATCAGCGTTGTTGCACGCAGTTGGGTCTTGTGCCTGTCTTGCCTCACTTGCTCACTTCTTGACCTTGCTTGTACCTTCACCTATATATACTCTTGCTCTTGCCTGCTTGACTCTTGTATATCTCTATATATGATCTTGCATGTGAACTGGCCTTCTGGCCTTTGAACTTGTGCTCGGAATGTGTGGTGACTTTGTGATCCACCCTGAGCTTTGCTTTGCTTTGCTTGACTGGTCTTGTGACCCCTTGTTCTCCCCCACTTTGCCTATGGGGGTGTGTCAGAACATTATAGCTTACTTATTTGTGTAGGCTATAGTGGGGTATCCCATAGGGGGTACAACCCAGTTAGGGTTTCCTATTTGTACTCACTTCGTTCTTAGTTCACTCATTCTCTCGTTCACTTCTTGTCACCTGCATTTGTCTTTTTGCTCGACCACGTTGAGTGGACTTATGCATGTAAGCTCCGTTGCGGCCATCGGAATTGCCGCTCCCGTCTTTATGAGTTCTTGGATGGCGGTACGTGTGAACGTGGCATGCTTGTTTGCCCCGACATGATTGCGATCGTGGAAATGTTGCGGTGGGCCGTGGCTCCATGGCAACCAGTAACCCTTGGCGATGACGGAGAGGACAAGGCTGCTGGGGCACCATGAGCTCCACCACGCAAATGTCGCGCGAAGACGACCGCGCATGTGTGTAATAGTTCTGTCTGTAACGGCAAATTCGTACGGATCGTCGTGGCATGCCGCCTCGCACCGTCGTGCTCCTGTACATTTGAGGCCAAGTGGTATAAGCTTTGAGTATTCCACGTTAAAGCATGCGTGTGCATGTACTTGTACGGGCAACCATTGATCGAAGGTGTGAAGAGAATGAACAATTGAATGAAATGTCAACGAATGTGTCGGGAATGTTAACGCATGTCAACGCATGTCTCTTCTTCTCCTCGTTTCCCCTTTTTTTTTTTTTTTTTTTTTTTGCCCCGTCGTCCACTTGGTAGAACATGGTTGTGCCTGCCCTTAGTGCGTGGGGGCTGATGCCTAGGGCCATGGACACCGTTGTCCATTGTGCTTTCTCTCATTCTCTCTTATCTCTCTCTCTCTCCCTCTCTCTCTCTCTCTCTCTCTCTCTCTCTCTCTCTTTCTCTCTCTCTCTCTTTCTCTCTCTCTCTCTCTCTCTCTCTCTCTCTCTCTCTCCTTCTCTCTCTCTCTCTCTCTCTCTCTCTCTCTCTCTCTCTCTCTCTCTCTCTCTCTCTCTCTCTCTCTCTCTCTCTCTGCTCCTCCTCTTGATTTTCATAGTCTCTTTGCCAAAACCATAGGCCTTTAGGAAGGTAGTTTTTATTAAATCAACCAACACACATAGCAATGCTTTCCTAGCATGCCACCAAGTGGCCAACATATGGGACCGAGGGGTTGTTGTTCCCCTTCCCTATCCTAGGCCCAAGCCTATCCCACCCTTTACTAGGGCTGGCCTCTTGCCATCGCAAACCCCTAGGGTTGCCCACGGTTTTCGCACTCAAGAGTGCACCGTGCCTAGCGCCCAAGCGCCTAGTCTCATGGCCCGCTCCTACACCACCGGAGCGGGTCCCTGGCCTCCATGCCCGTTCCGAGGGCAGGCACTTGCCACGTGGCCCGGCTGGCCGCAGCGGAAGCATGAGCCCCGGAACCCACGGCAATTGGCCGTGGGCGGGGGGCCTCGCTTGGGTAAGAACGGCATCGGCCCGTTGTTTCCGCCGCGGTTGACACGAGCGTATCCGCTTGCCGCACGGTCCATCGCCGCCATGTCCGCGACCGCCTGCTTGAAGGGTCGAGAAGTCAGCAGGCTCTTCTGCTGGTACAGCTTAAAGCGCTTCGCCGTGCGAAAGTCGGAGGCGTCCTCCACTTGAAGCACCTCGAAACGCCCCGCGATGAGGTTGAGAGCGTGTGAGATGAGTTCGAGTCCGCCCGCCGGATCACCGCGCTGCGCCTTGTATTCGGCGTGCAGCAGGTACGCCCGCAGGTCCTCCAGTAGCTCCGCTTGCTCTCGCACGGAGTCGTTGACGAAGGTTGCCGCCGAGAAGGTAAGATTAGAAGAAGGGAGGGGGGGAAGGTTTTCCGTGCCAATAAAATTAACATTGTTGACTGGAGCCTCACCGGCTTCATCTTCAGAGTCGTCGGTGTCGTTGTCGACCGCTGGAGCAGGGGGAGCGGCAGTCGCTGCGTCGTTGTCATGCCGGTTCGTCCGTGCTCCCCGTGTGCCTTTCTCCTTTTTTGCAGTTTTTTTTTTAGCCGACGCAGATGCGGCGGGTAGTGCAGTTTCCGCGGCTGTAACGCTGACGGGTTGCTGCTGTAGAAGGGACAGCAGCGCGTTGACCTGGTCCGGGGTCAACGCCTGCGTCAGCGCAGGGGCGGCGGTCGCGTCAGACGAGGAGACTGCAGTCCGCCTCCTCTGACGCTGACGCGACGGTCCAGCAGCGGGTGCTGGCGTGTGCTCGGCGTCAGTCGCGTGTGCCGCGCCAGTCCCCGTCGCCACTTGCGCCACAGGTGCCACTGGCGCCACAGGCGCCACTGGCGCCACAGGGACCGAAGGGTGCTGCTGGGTTTCGGCGTTTTTGTGGACCTCGAGCCCGCCCAGCAGCACGTCCACTGCAGTCGGGGCGGAAGGTCCGTCTTCTGCCCGACGCTTGTTACGGCGTTCGCCCGCAGAATCGCGGGCGTTACGGTCGGAGTCGGAAGCGGGGGTTGACGAGTTCCCGTTGTTAAGTGTCGGCGTAGGTGCCATCGTTGAGCGATTGAAGTTGAAAATGTCGCTGAGTAAAGTAGAGGGTGACTCGCCTCTAGGAAGCGATTTAATCCTAGCCAGCATGGAGGGAAAGACTACTCGAGCGGAAAATGTTGAGTGAGCCGTTTGAAAATTGAGAAACGTGGGTGGAGGGAAATGAGCTCCAACCCACGGTTTTTGTAGTTGGAGAAGGGCGTTTAGCGCGCTTCGACGATGCCAATTGTGCAGTACAAGCAGCTTCGCTTTCACAATACACAATTTTAAAAAACACTACATGTGTGTTTAAAAATTATAATATTCTGAAATGACAGGGTAAATTCAAAACTGCATCCTGAATTCAAGGTAATCAGGATGCTTTGCCCTGATAACGTGGGGCCTGTACTTTGACATTCTTTGTGTGGAGCTCTGCTGTTTTTGGTTTGACTTTTGAGTCGGCTGAAAATAACTTGTTACATGAACAAGCGTCCAGCAGTGTACTTTGACATTCTTTGCGTGGAGCTCTGCTGTTTTTGGTACGGGCCTACAAACCAATGCCTGGCGTCCAACAACCACCAGGAGCAGAAGAAAATCACGAGGCAGATGATTCCCACACATGCATAGTTGAAGTTTGATGGAGTGATGGGGAAGTCGACGGGGACGAGGAAGGTTGCGATGGTGTAGATGACAAAGAGGAGCGCTGCAAGGTTGATGAGTCGCCTGGATTGGAGTTGAGAGGTTGGGTGTGGAGAGGGGGAGAGAGGGCGGGGGCACAATGTCAAGGAGGGTATGAGGCATGTTGCTGAGTTGTGTACAGTTGATTACACGTACTGAGGGCGTATTCCTACGGCCTCCTATCAAGAAACCTCCTATCAAGATTGTACCTTTTGCCTGGTAAAAGTAGCGAGAGATTTTGGGTTTAGGGAATTTTCCAGTGAGAGCTTGATAGGAGGTTTTCTTGATAGGAGGATAGGAATACGCCCTGAGAAGCGCTGCAAGGCCGGCTGGGCACTGGGACAAAAGCACATGATTGATTGCGGAGTCGGCAGAAAAGACGGAGTCCAAGCAAGAAACGGAATGGGCAAGAGAAGCCTGGCCGGGATGACAGTTAGTCGGTGCTGACCACGAGATACTAGCTGGTTTTTTAGAGTTCTCAAATACCAGCACGAGATACTCTAGCAGTCTGTGTTCTCTCTGTAGCAAAATGAGTCGTGTTTTGAGCCGACACAAACCACGATTCGTGGCTTCTCAGTACTGTGACAAGATGAAGCGCAAAACGAGTGACAAACCTTGCCGAGCACTCACCTTTCCGAACACTCGCCTTCCTGAGCACTCACCTTCCCGTGTGACCGACATAGTCAGCCAGGTTGAACGCTCCAGGCTCGAAATCCTCGTCTTTTTGGATAAGCCGAAAGAAGATTGGCACGGCGTAGCTGCCGACCCACGCGACGGTGGCGAGGGAGGTGATGAAATGGAAGGTGCTGGAGTCGTCTAGGAGAGGCAGGGCGAAGAGGATGGAGATGCCGCAGCACAGCCACACAGCGTAGATGGGCGTGCGGTCGCGATTGACCCGACGCCACAGGGAGGCGAAGGGGAGACCAGAGTCGCGCGAGAGGGAGAAGGCCTGGTGCGGGGGAAGAGGGGGATGAGAGGTTGAAGGAATGGGAGGTGGATAAGAAAGCAGGAAGAGGCAGGGGAGAAGGGGGGAGGGGGAGGGGGGGGGGGGAAGGGAGGGGAGTTTGAGAAGGCATGAAGGCAAGGCGGGCAGAAGAGCAGTGAGAAGGAGGAGGTGAGTGAGGGAGTGGGCGTGGGAGCTCACGTGCGCGAGAGGGAGTGGCCCTGGCGGAGGCCAATTTTGAGAATCCTCAAAAGAAGGTCAGGGTTTTGGGTCTAGGGTTCAGAGTTTTGGGTTAGGGTGGTTCAGAGTGGTTCAAGGATCAGGGTTTAGGGTTTTGGGTTGTGAAGAGAGAGAAAGAAGAACAAGGGGGGCGCGCGCGAGAGTGTGTGCAGCACTGAGTGCATGGGTCTGCTTTTGAGTCTGGTGTTTGTCAAAGCAAAGGCACACCACTTTATAAGCTCACGTGTGCACACCCACCACTCGGGACGCGGGTGGTGTGAGTCCACCCACCCACAACGCCAAGGAAGAAAGCGAGCGACATGGCAGGGCGTGTGGCATTGACAACACAAAAGCAGGATCAGAAACAGAGCCAGTAGCATGTGTGTTTTGAGTCGACTTAAAACACATCAGAATCAGAGCCAGTAGCACCACCCACCCACCCACCCACCGCTCGGGATGCCCCCATGAGGCCACCCACAACGCCAAGGAAGAAAGCGAGCGACATGCAGCAGAGGATGATAACTGCTCCCGTGCCGCTGCCGTAGCTGGAAGCGGCAGGTGGGAGGGTGGGAGGTGGGGGGGTGGGACGAGGGGGGTGGGGAGATGGAAGATTGGTCATGTGGGGAATGCAAAGAGAGGGGCATGCAGCAGAGGATGATGACTGCTCACTCGGGTGCCGCTGCCGTAGCTGGTAGCGGAAGGTGGGCGGGTGGGAAGTGGGGGGGTGAGGGGATGGAAGATTGGTCATGTGGTGAATGCAAAGAGAGGGGCATGCAGCAGAGGATGATGACTGCTCCCGTGCCGCTGCCACAGCTGGTAGCGGAAGGTGAGGAGACTGGGAAGGTGAGGAGATTGGAAAGGGTGAGGAGATTGGGGAGGGTGAGGAGATTGGGGAGGGTGAGGAGATTAGGAAGGGTGAGGAGATTGGGGAGGGTGAGGAGATTGGGGAGGTGAGGAGATTGGGAATGTGAGGAATGAACAGCGAGGACATGCAGCAGAGGATGACAACCGCCCAGGTACCACCAAGGCCCCTCCTCCCTCTCTCTCGCACTCCAGTGCAAGAACACATCCCATATGAACACCCTCCTCCCTCTCTCTCGCACTCACCGGTGCAAGAACACATCCCATATGAGCACCCTCCCCCTCTCTCTCGCACTCCGGTGCAAGAACACATCCCATATGAACACCCAGTCACTCACCGGTGGAAAAACACGTCCCGTATGATCTACACAGCCAAACCCGACACTCTTGGCGCCAATGCTCGACACATCTGGCGCCAATGCTCTACACATCTGGCGCCAATGCTCTACACATCTGGCGCCAATGCTCTACACATCTGGCGCCAATGCTCTACACATCTGGCGCCAACGCTCTACACATCTGGCGCCAATGCTCTACACATCTGGCGCCAATGCTCTACACATCTGGCGCCAATGCTCTACACATCTGGCGCCAATGCTCTACACATCTGGCGCCAATGCTCTACACATCTGGCGCCAATGCTCTACACATCTGGCGCCAATGCTCTACACATCTGGCGCCAACGCTCTACACATCTGGCGCCAATGCTCTACACATCTGGCGCCTCACCCTTCTCCCTCTCCCCCGTTCACTCACCGGTGGAAGAACACGTCCCATATGATCTGCACCACTGGGTACTCGCCCCGCGTCTCGTTGTCCGTGCCCAACAGCCGATCGTCATTCTCGATGCAGAAGGTGAGGGATACGAGCAGCCCCCACCCCAGCACGCACACACATGAGAGGGATGAGACCATGGCTAGTGGGATCGTGCGGTCGGCGTGCTTTGTCTCTTCTGCCATGTGTGCTACAGTGTCGTAGCTGTACTGGCCGTAGAGGGGGAGTTGAAGGGCCACCACAAAGGCGTACGCCTGATGCGTGTGTCGGGGGGGTTGTGGCATGGCATGGCATGGACGGGGCGAGGGTGTGTGGAGAGGGGGAAGGTAGTCTTATTGATCAAGGACCAAAGAGAAAGAGGTGCTGGGCGACCATAAACGCGTATGCCTGGTCTGTGCGTGGTTTGGGGGGGGGGAAGGGAAAGGAAGGAAAGGGAAGGGGCGGTTGTGTGAGCTCTGAGACATCTCCTGAAAACAGGGCAGTGGCGAGTGGTCTAGAGCAGCATGTAAACGGATGCAGAGGGGTGAAGAGCGGTGAATGGCAGTAGTCACCACATTTGGCGGGTGGCTGTGGTCCAGCTGCACGTGGTAATGGATGAAGACAACCGAGGCGGGCTGGGTGGTGACAGAGTGGTGCAGTGCGGTGTAGAGCAACAGCGCAGTGCATAAGGGTGCAATGCGGTGCAGAGTGGTGCAATGCAGTGTCAAACAGTGCCATGCGGTGCAGAACAGTGATGAGCGGTACTCACCGCATTGGGCAGGTGGCTCTGGTCGAGCTGCACATGGTAGTGCGTGAAGACAAAGGAAGCAGGCTGGGTGGTGACAGACACACATGGCAGCAGCACGATGATCACGAGTGTGAGCACTATCTGTTCGCACAAGGGGATGGCGGAAAGGGTGGGAGGGGAGAGGTCAAGAGGGCAGAGGGTGGGAGGGGAGAGGTCAAGAGGGCAGAGGGTGGAAGGGGAGAGAAAGTGGGAGCACGAACGATGATCAGGAGTGTTAGCAATATCTGCGGACACAGGGAAGGTCACGGGGGCAGGATGCGACACAGGGAAAGTCACGGGGGCAGGATGCGACACAGGGAAGGTCACGGGGGCAGGATGCGACACAGGGAAGGTCACGGGGGCAGGATGCGACACAGGGAAGGTCACGGGGGCAGGATGCGACATCTCAATCAGTCTGTGAAGACAAAGGAGGTGGGCGGGGTGGTGACACAAGTGCGGGGGGCACGGTAAGAAATCTCAAAAGCAGCCTGCGAAGCTGAAGGAGGCAGGTTGCATGGTGACAGACACACACGGCAGCAGCACGGTGATCACGAGCGTTGACACCATCTGGGGATGCAGGGGGGAGGGGGGAGAGGGGAGGGGGAGGCAGAGACACAGAAGGAGGGGGAGGGGGAGGCAGAGACACAGAAGGGGGGGGGGGGGTGGGAGGAGATGCGGGAGATAAAGAAAGGCAGGCGAGCAGGGGAGAAAAGAGCCTTGGGTTGGTCAGAGGTTACAGGCAGGGGAGAAAAGAGCCTTGGGTTGGTCAGAGGTTACAGGCAGGGGAGAAAAGAGCCTTGGGTTGGTCAGAGGTTACAGGCAGGGGAGAAAAGAGCCTTGGGTTGGTCAGAGGTTACAGGCAGGGGAGAAAAGAGCCTTGGGTTGGTCAGAGGTTACAGGCAGGGGAGAAAAGAGCCTTGGGTTGGTCAGAGGTTACAGGCAGGGGAGAAAAGAGCCTTGGGTTGGTCAGAGGTTACAGGCAGGGGAGAAAAGAGCCTTGGGTTGGTCAGAGGTTACAGGCAGGGGAGAAAAGAGCCTTGGGTTGGTCAGAGGTTACAGGCAGGGGAGAAAAGAGCCTTGGGTTGGTCAGAGGTTACAGGCAGGAGGAAGCCAGGGATGGGGGTGGGGGCGGGTAGCCGGAGCGGGATGGGGTGAGCTTGATGAGATGGGGTGAGCTTGATGGGATGGGGGGGAGCGGAAGGTTCCTTGTAGGGTTGAGCAGAATCTGTTTTTTGAGAATTCCCAATAAACAAGTTGAGCAACGTACTTGCTCGTACCTGCCAGACTGCAGTGAAGACGTTGATTCTTCCAATCACTTGAATCGGCAGCGAGGTGAGCAGTCCCCCCATTATAAGCACGCCCGCCGTGATCCCAAAGCACTCGTAGCTGCTGAGGAAGTAGCCCCCGTTATTAGCACCCCCTGTAGCAGCATAGATGGTGTACTGTAGCAGCTGCACCCCCCCAAAGGCCACGCCGCCCAGCCCCACAGATATGCCAAAGAACTCCAACCAGCCCTGGGGTAGAGACACGTGGGTATAGGTACAAGCACATTGGAAAGCACGTGGGTATAGGTACAAGCACGTTGGAAAGCACGTATAGGTACAAGCACGTTGGAAAGCACGTGGGTATAGGTACAAACACGTTGGAAAGCATGTGGGTATGGGTACAAGCACGTTGGAAAGCACGTTGGAAAGCATCTGGGTATAGGTACAAGCACGTTGGAAAGCATGTGGGTATAGGTACAAGCACGTTGGAAAGCATGTGGGTATAGGTACAAGCACGTTGGAAAGCACATTGGAAAGCATGTGGGTATAGGTACAATCACGTTGGAAAGCACGTGGGTATAGGTACAAGCACGTTGGAAAGCACGTGGGTATAGGTACAAGCACGTTGGTAGAAACGTTCGTAGAAACGTTCTAAGGCTCTTGGTACCGGGAATAAGCACATGCATACATGAATATGCAAAAGATTTGCAATCAGGGAAAAAGCACGTGGAAAAATGGATATGCCAAATTACTCAGACCAGACCTGGGAAAGAGACAAGAGGGTATAAGTATAAGCGCGAGGGTAAGCACTTGGCAAGGCACTTGGGCATAGGAATAAGCACATCGGCACTTGGGCATAGGAATAAGCACATGGGCACTTGGGCATAGGAATAAGCACATGGGCACTTGGGCATAGGAATAAGCACATGGGCACTTGGGCATAGGAATAAGCACATGGGCACTTGGGCATAGGAATAAGCACATGGGCACTTGGGCATAGGAATAAGCACATGGGCACTTGGGCACAGGAATAAGCACATGGGCGGGAACATGGAGTTTTGAGACGTCTCAAAACTTGGCACTTGGGCATAGGAAGAATAAGCACATGGGCAGGAACACGGACACTCACGGTGATTGGGGCAGGCAGGCGAGGGGTTCAATGTAGGATGGTGCGGCCGCAAGGGCGCTTATGGTGACGAGACCCAGGCAAGTAAAGCGAGGGAGGAGGGAGAGGGAACTCACGGTGATCCAGGCACGCAGCAGGGGTGAGGAGGGAATGAATGAATGGCACTAAGGGGGAACAGGCACTCACGGTGATCCAGGCAGAGGGGGGGAGGGGGTGAAGGGCACTAAGAGAGAGAGGGAAATCACGGTGCTCCAGGCAGGCGAGGGGAGGGAAAGGGAAGAACGTAGGGAGGGCACTCACGGTGATCCAGGCAAGTAGGGAGGAGGTTGAAAGGACACTCACGGTGATTCAAGCAGGGGATGGGAGGAGTGAAAGGGTGTTGAGGTGCAAAGAACGCTCACGGTGATCCGGGCAAGAGGGAGGGAGGGAGGGTGAGGGGGGGAACACTCACGGTGATCCGGGCAAGAGGGAGGGAGGGAGGGTGAGGGGGGGAACACTCACGGTGATCCAGGCGGCAAAGGGGGCAAGAGGGATGAATGGGGGGAGAAACACTCACGGTGATCCGGGCAAGAGGGAGGGAGGGAGGGTGAGGGGGGGGACCCTTACGGTGATCCAGGCGGCAAAGGGGCCGTGCTTTGGGCCGGCGAGAGCTGCCGCCCAGAAGTAGAGCGACCCCGAGATCTGATTGCGGGCGGCCGAGCGGGGGAGAAAGAAGGGGTGGGGAGGGGGGGAGGTGTTTTGAGAGGGTGAGGGAAAGGTGCGGGGGAGATGTTTGGGGGAACTGGGGAGGTTGGGCAACGATTGGGTTTGGGGGAACAGGGGAGAGGGGGGAGTGGGGGAACTGGGGAGGGGGGGAGATGTTTGAGGGAACTGGGGAAAAAGGGGAGATGTTTGGGGAAGGAAAGCCTCTGTGATTCGTCCTCTCTCGCACGTCTCTCCCTGTGTACTCTAATCCTTCACAAATAAAAACCGTGAGACATGAGACGACTTTTGAGGCGCCTCAAAAGTCGCCCCTGTGTACTCTGCTCCTTTACAAGGTGCTGGGCTTGGGAATGCAGTAACGAGTTCGGCAGAGGCGCGGCTTACAGGAAAGGAGGAGGAAACTTCCGCGAAGGTGAAGGCAACGCAGTGAGTGAAGAGAACTGTGAGCCACCAGTACCACACGAGTGCCACCGGCCCTCCGTTGATGTACGTCTGGCTGTAGCGACGGGAGCAGAGGAGGCGAGGAGTGTATGAGAGGGAATCGGGAGAGAAGAGCGAGGTGCATGGAGAAGTCAAAGAGGTGTGAGCCACCAGTACCACACGAGCGCCACTGGCCGGCCGTTGATGTACGTCTGACTGGCGTGGGAGCAGCAGAAGGGGAAGACAAACAGGTGTGAAGGTGGCGAGACAAAGGAAGGCACGGAGAGGGCGCGTAGAGCGAAGGGAGAGAGGGAGCAGTGAGTCATGGTCAACTTTTGAGGCGCCTAAAAAACAAAAGAAGGCGCCTCAAAAGCTGTGAGTTTGTGAGTCATGGTCATGTGTGTTATGGTCGTGTGGAGCAATTATCATGAGGAATCATGTACAGACCAATAATACTAAAGAAGGACCATCAATATCTTTCCACTGTGCAGCCAATGCTCACGAATATTCATATAACGGACACATATTGGCACATGAATACAATGCTAAGGAGGTTTATGCCTGGTTAAAGGCTTAGGAAACAGCCCGGATTGTAGAAAAAAGGATGGGAGTGCAGGGGATGGTAAAAACTCAAACCTCGAAATGGTTCAAAAAACACTGTAGATGAGGACGGATACGGAAAGCATGTGGTAGATTCGCAAGTAGTTGCCACATTGGACTTGTTTGTTCGCCTTCAAAAGACGCACACACACGCGCGCGCGCGCGCACGCTCGCATGCACGCATGCACACGCACGCACGCGCGCGCGCGCACACACACTCGCACACACGCCTCCCCCCCCCCCCCCCCCGCCCCTTCACACACTCGCACACACGGACACCCATGCACCCACAACCCCCCCACCTTCCCCCCCAACACACCCACACCCTTTCCACCCCTCCCCATCCACACACACACAACGCGACCGCAACACGAGGCATGTCTCACGGCGGTGGTGGAAGGGCGGGAGCTACTCACGCGTAGAACGGGACAACGCCAGCATAGATTATTATGGTGGAGAGGCCAACAGAAAACACTTCGACGAAGCCCTATAACGGGTATGATGAAGGAGAGAGAGGGAGTGGGATTGCAAGTGGTAGAAAGCGTGAGTACGGTGAGGCGGAAGTGGGATTGGATTGTAATTGTACTACTGTTCAGCAGCATTGTTTTAGCATATACAAAAATGGTTGGAATGAGAATGGCCCCCTCCCCATCCCATTCCCGGCATTCCAGTATTTTTTCCTCACCTCATTCATTACCATCGATTTGCGCTGTTATCGCATCACCGAAGTCCTCGTTATAAGCACGTACCAGGCGTCGCTTCAGCTCCTGTTTGTATCCCAGCTCGTTAAGAAGCCGTTCGCCGGAGTCAAGTTCCACAGTCATATGTAACCCATCCTCTAACATAATCTCCAACGTCTCTCGCTGCTCCGAGCCTCCCGCCGTACTTCCCGCCGCATTTTGCGGGTTCTCACTCCCCACATTTCCCGGAGTCCCGTCGTCTGGATCCACCGCCGACTTCCCCGCATTTTCGACTTGCCACGTGCCCGCGACTAATACAATTCCGCTGTCTTCTGCTGAATTGCTGCTGTCACCTGCATCAGCATCTGGCCGAGCCGCGTTCTCGTCTCCCGAAAAGCTCTTCCGTCGGGGTTTCGAGTTTACAGTCGCTATTTCTTCGCCTAGGGAACTACCCCGGGAATCCCGCAACCGCCATAATGCACGTTTCGCGAGCAGTGATTTCGGCATTGGGGAGTGTATACAGGGTTCTCAGGAGTTTATCAGTAACTACATGCCGGAAAAACAGTTTAACGTTGGCAGCAATTGTAAGCTTGTGCTTTCAGGAAACGATTGTATGATACTTGCAACACCACGCGACGAAACACCTGGTGGTTGCTACAATAGCGTAGGAGGAGAGGGTGGGCGAGGAGGAGCTTTCGCCTAAGATGCAATGGCGGCGTTCTACGAATGTCACACGGGGTGACTTTTGAGTGGATCGAAAAGCCACACAGGGAGTCAGAGCAATTGAGATGGAGGCGGCTGATCAAATATGCCAACCTCTTTATGTTGTTATTGCTCAACTGTGCGATACAAAACGGTGGATATAACTAATCACACCGTTTATCTAGGTGTACACCGTTGTCGGACGCCCTGTGTGTCCCACGCCCTGCACAATGCCAGAGTTGCTGGTTCTGTTGTCGGAGAAGAATCTTCAGTTTTGGTGCGGTGAGGAAGGTTTTCAGTACGGTAATTATATCCACCGTGGTTCTGCGATTCACGAACATTGCTCGGTGCATCTCACCTGACCTGACCTTGGCTGGCTGGGTTCCCTGACAGCACCAGGGACCACCCACAGGGCACAGCACACTCCAGCGAATCGTGGGGGGGCTGGGCTTAGGCAAGGCGAAACAAAGTTTTTGCCTGCGCAAATCATCAACTGTATTCTTGCTAGAACAGTGGATGTACGTCAGGTCCACCCATCAGGCCCTCAAGAACCCCGAAGCTGACATGCTGGGTCATTTCCAGAACGTTCTTGATCCAGCCTCCCCCAACCCCAAAAATGGATTTTTCTGCACCATGGTTATAAACAGCCTACCCGGTATAGAACCTTGACCTATGGTGGCGGTACAGGTTGCAGGAGGAGGGACGTCTTGTCTTGTCTGATGCGAACCAAATCTTATCATAACTGTAGCTCCCACCACGGCTCAACAGACACCTTGTCATTTGGTTAGCTGGTGGTACAGTCGCTAGTGTAGAGTTACATATATAGTGCGTGGCATTCAAATGTTAATTGTTTGGAAAGAATAACATTCAATCCAAACAGGCTTTCTACCTCCATTCAGTGAAAACATTCCTTCGTGTACACACTCTGACTACTTAGTGAATCATTCGTTGTAACTGTATGGAAACCATACGGTGAAGCGCAGACAGCAACCACCAAGACGCCGACTTCTCACCATTTTCCCAATTCAATCCACTGCTTTTATCACACATATGCACTATCATATCCTTGCTTTTCCTCTCCACCCTCTCTCCATCCCCATCCCACTCAGGCACATCCTTTTCAAGCGCATCCAAGGCCCGTGCTACTGCTTCCACTGTGCTCACGGCCCCTTTGTGTGGCTCCTTGCGCACCACAAGACCCAGGTGGCCGGGCGGCGGGCCAGGGGATGCGTGGTCAAAGGGTAGACACACCTGTGGAGGGTGGTGTGTGTGCAAGACAGTGCAATAGGGAAAACGAGGCGGGGCAGATCATTGAGACAGGCTGAGATTGAGAGATAGGTGGCATGTATGGGTGTGCAGCTCCTTATGCACTACAAGACCCAGGTGGCTGGGAGGCGGGCCAGGGGATGCGCGGTCAAAGGATAGACCCACCTGCGGTGGTCAGCGTGCAAAAAAGCAGCAGGGAAGGGCATTGAGACAGGCAGAATTTGGGGGACAGGTGGCATACGGTGCATGGGTGCATGCGCATGGGTGCAAGGTCCATGGTGGATGGTGCATGGGGCATGGGGCATCAGGCATGGTGCATGGTGCGTGGTGCATGGTGCATGGTGCATGGTGCATGGCAGGAGAAACAGGAAGCAGCCTTCCAGTGATGGAGGGGGCAGCAGGGCATGAGAAGAAACAGTGGTCAAGACGATGGTGCAATACGGTGCAGGCCTGCTAAGGCACCTGCTGAGGCGTTCGGCAAGAGTCAGTGTTGCAACACATTAAGCACTGACCTATTCTGCTGCTTGGTGCTTCAGCCTATTCATTCATTCTGTTTCAGTTTACTCAACCTCTCCATGCAAGCGGAATCAGGCTGTTCCGCTTCCCTTCTCCCAAGCACTGCTCGCTTCACTGCCCTTTACAACCCTGCACGCTTCACTGCCCTTCACACGCCGCATGCATCACTACCCTTCTCACATACCATCGCACAGTGGCGCCTGAGGAAGCTTCCACTGGCCTTTATCATCTCTTTGGCATGCTCCCACGTACCATCGATCACCACCAGGGTCACAGCATACCCCTCCCCACACTCCCCGCCCCACTCCCCACGCCCCTTCTCCTCCTCCCCACACTCCCCGCCCCACTTTCCACGCTCCTTCTCCTTCTCCCAACACTCTTCGCCCCACTTTCCACAACCATTCTCATCCCCACATTCCCGTCGCCTCTCCCCGCACTCTCTCTCCACCCCATGGTGCTCCTCCCCTCGCTGCTCCATCCCATGCTTCTCCACTCCAAGTTCCCCCACCCTGTGCTGCTGTACCCCTTGCTCCCCCGGATGCTGCGCGTCCAGTTGCCGCCCGGCCAGATACCACCTCCACCAGTCGCCAACTGGCAGCGCGCCCTCCCCCGGGAACATGAGCAGCCGCACGTGGCCGCACGCGCACATGCCGTCCTCTGTGCATCCCGGCTGAGCCGCATCACCCGCTACGCGCTCAGTACCGCCGTCCCATGATCCCTTGCCCCTCTCTCCACACGCCACCGGAGCACCGCTGGTGCTGGCCACCTCCTCCCTTTCGCCATGTGCTCTCATCCATCTCCTCTCCCACTGGTCCTCTCGCCTCCCTGACCTCTCGCTTTCCTGATCACCCAAGTCCGCATCTCCTCTCCCAATCCCCACTCTTTCTCTCTCCAGTGACTCATTCCCAGCCTTCCATCCATTCCCAATCTCTCGCTCCTCCCCTCCGCGTCGCCCGTTTTCCTCCCCTGCCGTTTCTGCCTCCGTTTCCCCTCCCCCTCTCGCCCCCTGACACGTGGCACGCAGTCTATCCCCGCAGCAAGGGATCAGCGCCCGGTCCAGCTCAGCTGAGGATCCTTCGAGGAACCTTCGCCCCGTTATAATGCGTGTGGACTCTAGAGTGAGCGTGAGAATCGGGGCAGTCGCGAGCCGCTTCTTGGCTTCGTGTGGGTGCTGCAGTACTATAACTCTTGTCCGTGTCTTTAATCTACTCGGAGGTAAACTAGGGCACAGACACGCGCGCGATGGCCGCTGACAGCGATCGCACAACGTCCGCCTTCCTGCTGGCCGCGACGCTGCTCCGTTCGGAGCCGCCACGTCAGCGTCGGATGGCGAGACATCTGCTAGTGGATCGAGCGTAAGTTGCGCGAAAGGGTCTTTCGCGTACATCCTCCGGCTGGGAATCTGTGGGAAACATGAAGTGATCAGGTCGTAGTCCTATCAGAAAATATTTGGGTGGAGTATTAGCTCGGGAGTCGCGACTACTGTAGTAGAGTATCGTCGCCACCAGGACTCGCAACCTCGAAAGGTGCTGGTGGGGATGGGTTTGCAAATAAATCGGTTGCTGGACTCTTCCTGACGAGTACGTCTTTTAAAGATGGGTGCTGTGGGATCTGAAACGGTGAATGCTTCACAGTTTTGCGAAAATGTAAATTTACTTCGCTGGCCCTCCGATGTTCACGAAACGGTTACACAAATGCAATGTCTCTCGATTTCGCCTTCCAGATGTCAGATTTTCGTCGCTCCGGCGCCACGTCGGATTCGTGTATGAGGGCGAATTCTCTCAGCAACACCAATGTCACCCAAGCTTCCCTGGAATGGATAGAGTTTTTGCACCCATTCCCTCCGTTAATCTCACTCATTACACCTTCGTCTATAGAGAACTTCCTCGCGGTGAAGCGCTGAGGCTGCAGGCGCGGTCAACTTTCTCGGACTCTGATATCGCATACGGGTGATAATCACCATGTCACTCACACTAAGTAGGGGTACGCTTCGTTTCTGCACATCCGGCAATGGTCGCCAACTAAGACCCTGGAGCCAGCTCAAATCCGAAACTCCTCAGATTCAATCAGAACCGTCGATCCGCTCTTTCTGTGAGGTTCCTTGGTCCAATTCACGAGTTACCATCTCCTCTCTCAGCCAATCCAGACGACTACGCAACGTTGAGGCTTCTGTTTCTTCGCGAACCACCATTCAAACAACCCAACCCGCCGTCTCGCCTCTTTTGCCTAAAAAAATCTGCCGTCGAATTGTCCGAGCTTCTAGCGGCGTGGATGATCTCCAGGTCCCAGCCACGTGGTCAAGTCCGGAAGTCGCACAACGAGTAAGCGCAACGTCATGACTGCCGGAATTGTCTCGCGCCATGTCACTCCTTTCTCTGCTCCGTTCCCGGCACTCTAAAATGCATAACTCTCTCCCTCTAAGATCCTTGTTGCTGCTCATCTGTGTCCCCGCTATGCAGGAGGCTGATTGGCTGAGGGAGAGCCTAAAGGCGTGGCTGGACAACGAGTATTGTCCGGAGCCCGCCAACATCGGAATCAGCGACAGATGCGCCAAGGTAGGTGGAATCTGGTCGTGATACCATCTGATGGGTAGCTGTGGCCTTCAATGAAGAAACCAAGCAGAGCGCCAATGCATTTAAAACAAGAGGAAACTTGCTCTGCCAGTTGGCCAGCGAGTCTTGGGTTGCTACTACACATAAGGGCACAATCGCCCGTAAGTGCAAGCTGGGGAAGCCAAGCTGAATAATCAACCAGCGTGGTTACATCATCGCTGTAACACATCCAGATATTGAATCGGATAACAACGATTGCGTTCGTACCAGCAGCAGAACGGCTTAAGCTTCACCTCCAACAACCATATCGCTCATTATGATCCTTATTGTCCTTTGCATCGCCCACATGCTCACAGGTCTACTACCGCTGCTTGCTAAATCAAGAACGGGAGATTGCGCAGATTCTTATGCAGGTAATGCAGCTTCCTGCACTGTCAATACAAGGTTTGCAAATCGAGAAGTTCCCACCTGATTATTCCAATGTGGCTTTCTCTTAATTGGCTATACCAACCATTAACGTGTTTCTGTGATGTGTGGGTGCAGATGGTGTATGACTTGGAGAGCTTCTCATTCAAGGAGAGCTTTCATGGGCCCTTTTCATCAGCCAATGCAGCAGTGGCACTCATATGTGATAGAACTGCCGCTAACGGTGACTAGCAGGCATCTAACATCTGGATGCCAATGCATCAATTTTTGTTCATAGCACTAGTCATATCCAACAGAGCATCAAGCATCATAAAGCATCTGTCTGGGCACTTGATTACCGGTAAACCGGCTGATCATTCATATCTCTAATATAGCTAATGGAGGTAGCACTCGCGGTGGCTGGCAGGCAGGCGTCAAACATCCGCCGGCAGTTGATTGCTGGCACTATTCATGCTCTGCAGAGCTACCACAATAGCAATGACTTCAGCCACCTGGACGCCTGGCTAACACTCTGAGTTTTCCTACCGCACATTATGCACGCCTTTGTCAGGAGGCAGCAACGCAGTCTTTGTTGGAGTAACTTGGTGGTTTCGGGTTTAGTAATACGTTAAGTTGAAGATGTTAACATGAAAAAGCTCTAAGCGTTTATCGCTTTCAAATTTGCGTATTGTGAAAGCGAGGCTGACTGTAACGCAATTTTGTGCATCGTTGAAGAGCGGTATTCGCCTTCTCCGAATATATAATTTGGGCTGGGGTCATTCTTCCCCCACCCACGTCTCTCATTTTTACAACCGCTCAAGCTCAATTCCCACCCACCCTCCCCAGGCTGGTCATCTTTTGAGAGTAGTAGCTCTTAGACATTTTGGATGTGATAGTATACTAATATTATTGCTATGAACCGTTGTACTTGAGCCCATTGTAATGAGAACGGTGCCAATTCCTACAAAAGCAAGCTTTCTCAATATCACAATCAAGATAGCCATTTGAAATGTTTACTACAACCCTTGGAGATAGCCAGAGCTGCGCACGATAAGGTTTGCGAAAATTTTGTAATGTACACATGATGTCCAGCCCCTGCATGCGAATTTGCCTTGTACCGGATGGAAACCCCGCACCCGAGGTTTTTCCCCAAGCCAGTTGCACGGACGTTACAAGCACGTCGCGCGCCTTGCAGTGGTTATGAACCAGTAGTAACGAACAGACCGAAGTGATACTGAAGAGACTGAAGTCAAAATGTCAACGGATAAGTTACAAAATTCCTATAAGCACCTGACGAATCCTTTTTTGCTAGCTGCGAATTGACGAAATTTATAAGCCCTCTTTACAAGACAACCAGGAGTGGCTCAAACAGGCATCATGTGTACATGTACATTCTGGTTCTGTGGAAACACGCCCCAAAGCCTCTTTCTTGGCCGTATTGATTATCGATCAATGGGATTATGGGACTCTGCATACAAGAGGAGGTGCAGCCACACACGTTTGGCGGGAAATGGTGGGTGTACAGTATCGAACGGACGGATGTGTGTGCACAAACTTGTTTCGGATGGTTGAAGACAGAACCTTGAACATCCATACTGAACAAGTTGGTGGCGAACGACAGAACCTTGTTTCGGCTGCCATACACGCCCTTTCCAGCCTCTCCGCACCATACTGAAGCGTACGTTCTCCTGTCGATGTGGAATCTGCGTTGGGAATGCTGCCGCCCTTCCCCTCCTCGCTCATGTGCTCCACCTGAACCTGCACGTCCTCCCCCCACCGTGGCACGTCGTGGGAGATGCGCGAAGTTGTGGCCACAATGGCTTTGCGCGGGGCTTCCCGAAAGCAGCACAGCTGCATCGCGCGCCTTGTTCCGCCGACGAATCCCAAACCAGTGGCACAGATCTTCTTAGCGACACGCTGTACGACAGATTCATCAAAACGCTGGTTCTGAACTGAAACACCAGCGGACCGCTGCCTGGTACGGGTGGATCCTGCCATAGGGGCAACACTCTAGATGACACACAAACAATCCACCTTGTGTTCCGTTCACAAAACTTGGGCCCTAGAACACATTTGAGACAAACCAAAATAGTGTTTCTTTAAGGAAAATTCCTTTTCCTTACTTCGCATCCCCGCTCAACGCGTACATCACTGTAGCACCTCAGTCAGCACCGTTACCACTCACATCAATAATCCGCCCGCCATTTTTCGCATGTCGCACCCCGACCTCACGGCTCGGCGGTAACCCGCGCTCCGGACCTCCGCCTCGACACTTTTTCCCAACCTCAGTCCCAGGCCCGTCGCGCGACAACCACAGTCCATTACCGTTACCACTATAGTTTCGTTATATAATCCTTCGCTCATGCCTTCGCTCATTGTACTCTTGCTTCGATAGTGCAATTCTCGTTCGTTCACTCGATTGCACTCGTAACACTTGGTATTCAGAGCCTACGATCTCATCTCGGACCGCATCCACACCTTCGCTTCCCACTATCTCAATTTTTTGGGGGGGTAGACGTCTCTCAGCGATACAGCACCGCCGCTCGAAGTGCTCTCTCGCAAGCACGCACGGCCACGACCGAGGCTCTTGCTGAGCTTGCCCGACACCCCCGCCATGGCCGACCTCAATCTCGCCACGTTGACGCAGGAGCAACTCGATCGTCTCGTGCGACAATTGGAGGATTCGGCGCTTGAAATCGCGACGCTCACGGCGGAACGTGACTCCGCCCGTCAACAGTCAACGGCGAATGCACCGACGACATCCGACGCACCAACCAATGCATCTGCACATTCGGAGCAGCCAATTTTCATCTCATCCGGCACACCAACACAACACCACAGCACGGGACAGCGCTCAGGTGCAGCCAGTGAAGGCGCCGCCCAGCCGATGCCCGGCATGGGAGGGAACAGGAGCACGCTAAGCCCACGGGAGCCCCGAGAAGCCCGTCGGCACGTGGAGTTTGCGGCGACAAGTGGTGAAAACGCCATAATGGCCCCAATGCCACTCAAGCCGCAACGCCCGCCCTGCTTCGACCCAAGCCAACGCGGCGGCCCAACAGTTCAATCGTGGGTCTTCACGATGAATGTGTTTTTCGACGTCAACTACGTCGAGTCGGACGCCGCCAAGATCCGGTATGCGGTTTCACTACTCAGGGGCCCCGCCATGGACTGGTGGCGAGTCATCGTGACGTCGCCACGCGCCTACGAGCCACCGTCGCACGAGGAAGGGCCCTCGGGTCCAGCTGTCACCTGGAGTTCGTTCTGCGAAACAGCCCAATACAGCACGTGGGATGCGTGGTGCGCAGGGATTCGGGCGCGTTTTGAGCCGATCGCGGCTTCGATTTCGGCGCGTCAGAAACTGCGCACTTGGCGCCAGCTCGG